AGGAGGAAAACCAACCTCCCCACTCACCATCCCTTACCCCATTGCACAGCCCTGCCCAGCCATGGGACAGAGCACAGCCCCAGACCAGTGGCACCACCACGAGCTCACACACAGCCCCGGGCAGCTCCCGCTGGCTCAGCTGCCCTTAAGGGAGCCAAAACCAAACCTTTAGTGACACATCACCCCACAGCCTCTGTCAGATTCTGGCTAACACAGTTCATCACCCCCAGCCAGCACCAGGCCCTGCAGGAACTCACTGCCATCTGTGCCCGTCAGCTGGGCCAGTTTGCGGAAGGAGCGGGACTGGGAGGTCCCGGTGCGGGGCTGCCAGTCCTCAGCGTCCTCTAACATCCGCAGCTTCCCAGGATCACACCCGGGGCTTCTGGGGGGCTCCAGCGGCTGCGGGGGCTGCCTGTGAGTGACAGAGGGCAGGAGCTCAGCCAGCACCAAGCACAGACCCTGCTTCAGCACTGGGTAGTGCTCCCAAAGGTGCCCTCGTCAGACCCTCACACTCACCACTGCTCCACTGTGCCCCAGCCGGACCCATGGGCATCCCTGTGGTATTGAAAAAAACGGCAGCACAACACTCAGGATTTGACCAGGGCTCAGCCCATTCCTCACAAATGCACTCCAGCACAAGGAGAAGTTGGCAACACTCACCCAGCTCCGCCCAGCAGCCCCACACCAGGCTCAGGGCACACTGCGCCCCAGGTCCAGGCAATGCCTGGAACCTCAGAGCACCCCCAGCAATTTGTTGCTAGTGCCACCAGCCTTCTCCAGATACCATTTGCTTAAATAGCAATGGCAGACTTTAGTCTCCCCAGCTTGGTGCCAGCAGTGCCCAGCAGGTCCTACCCGGCACAGGACATCCCATCTGGCCAGTGGGTGTCCGGGCAGGACCCTCCCAAGGTGACACTCAGAGCAGTGGCTGAGCACTGGCAGTGCCCATGGTGGGCTGAGCCCAGGGCAGGCTCTGTGACTCCACCAACAGCTCATCTCTGGGAAGGGGAGAGGATGGAGGAGGAGGAAAGAAGAAACAACAACAGGGCAAAGAGCATCCCCAGAGTGACTGCAAGCTGTGAGGATGAAGCAACCACGTGGGCTGAGCATCTTGTGGCTCCTGCTACCACCCCTGCACACGGTCCCCTTACCTGGGCTTTTTAACAAGCTCATCCTCACCATCCTCCACTGAATGCAACAGGAGAGAAAGGGGAAGATGGAGTCAGTCTGTGGCAACTGAGGCCCAGAGATAAAAGAAATGGAAAAGGAACAGGAAAGGGAAAACGCCCTCTCCTCCAGCCACCCACCTGCCCCATTGCACAGCCCTGCCCAGCTATGGGGCAGAGTACAGCCCCAGACCAGTGGCACCACCACGAGCCCACGCACAGCCCCAGGCAGCTCCCACTGGCTCAGCTGGCCCACAGGGGCCACATGGGGCCAAAAACAACACTCAAGTGCCACAGTGCACCACAGTCTTTTTCCAGCTCCAGTTGCCCCAGCAAAGCTGGGCAGCCAGCCAGTGCCAGGCCACATGGGAACTCACTGCTGTCTGCGCCCACCAGCCGGGCCAGTTTGCGGAAGGAGCGGGACTGGGAGGTCCAGCTGTGGGGCTGCGAGTCGTCAATGTCCTCTAACATCCGCAGCTTCACAGGGTCACACACGGGGCTGCTGGGGGGCTCCAGCAGCTGAGGGGGCTGCCTGTGAGTGACAGAGTCATCTGTCAAATCTGACAGATCTCATGGCATCAATTCCCTGGGGCTGCCCCACACCTCCCCTGGCAAAGAACCACAGCACACCAGTACTCCAGACACCACACGTGTCCTTACTCCCCACCCCCTACTCCTCTCCAGTAAAGACCAGGCCCACGAAGGACCGATTTCGGACTGATAGTATGATACTGGCCCCAAGGGCCAGAAGGAGAAAGGACAGAGCAAGAATAAGACATGTTCAAAAAACCACCACCGGGAGAGCTGCACCAGAGCCTAGTGACTGCCCATGGCATGCCACCTGCCCCTGGGCAGGGTGCCCAGCACAGCCCATCAGCCCTTGTCCGGCCAAGCCACATCTTAGTGACCAGGGAAGGGACCACACACAAGGACACTCCAGGGCCCCAGCAGCTGACAGACAGGCAGCACTTGCCCTTCAGGTTGGGGACAGCTTGCTGCCAGAAGTGACCCACCCACACAGGCAGAGCAGCACGTGCTGCCCGTCCCCAGGCTGGCCCTGCCCCGGAGAACGGGGCAATAGCAGGGAAGAGGCATGTGGGGAGGATAGAGAGAGCAGGCAAAAGGCTTACTGACTTGTCAAGGCTCAGCACCTGTAGGGAGAGGGAAAGAGAAAGGGAGGAGAGAAAGAAAGAAAAAGGAAGGTGAAATTAGATCTGCAGCACCCAAGAAGTTTCCAGAGCTCACCTATGGCCTACATTAGTCCCTCTACCCCTGAGACTCACACCCGGCTCGCCCAGGGCTGTGAGCACACTGGGACACAGGGGCAGATGCCAATGGACCAGACTGTGCTCCTTCAACCCCCAGAACAGGCCTGGGTGCCACATCCCACCCCATTGCCCAGTTCCAGGGCACCACAGCAGCTCTCTCAGGAGGGACCAGGAGCTGCCAGACACAGGCAGCTGAGCAGAGCTGGGTGATGATGGTGCTGTGCAGGGCTGGAGGGCTTCACTCTGCTCACCCTATCCCACCAGCCGGGGGACCAGCAGGACATCCCCAGGCAGCCACCATTTCCCTGCTGCTGCAGATGCCAGACAGTGTCCTGCTACAGCTGCTGTGTCATGCCTTGCAGGACTCCCCGCAGGCTGACACATCCCTGAGCTAGGGATTGACACAAGTGTGGCTGTGTGTCTCTGTGTGCAACAGTCCTGTTGTGCCACCTCAGCACCAGCCACCGGGGACCCCAGCACGGGCACTCTCACCCACTCCCACCCACGGTGTCTGGCATGCAAGGCACAGCAGGGCCGGGCAGCGGGCTCCCCCCAGTCCTCAGGGAGCAGGACGGACAGCAACATACCCATTGTGCTGGGGGGTGCAGGCGGGCGCCAGGGGCGCGTACGTCACAGGTTTCGTCACCAGCCCGGGCTGTGGGTTCGGAGGCGAGCCGGCCCCAAAGGGCCGAGCTGTTTTGTTGAGGGCGGTGCTGGGAGCGAAGTTATATTTCAGGGGTTCAGAGCAGGGGAGTGAGTCCTGAGCGAGACAAAACACACAGACACGGGCTCACACATCAAGCAGCATGCAAAGGGCAGCCCTGGGCCAGGCAGCGCAGCAGGCAGCCAGGTAGGAAAGCTGGACAGCACGTGCACCTTGGACACTGGGCTCTGCCAGGCTGGCACCTCTCTCCACAGAGCAGCCAGCCCAGTGACAGCAGGTCACAAATCCAGCCTGAGGGTCATTGGAAGATTAGTAGGTGCCTCGGACACTTGCTGCTGCCCATGGCAGGGCGGTGCACATGCACACACACCCATTGCAACCGTCCTGCGGCATAAAGCTGAACCCATGTAGGTAGCTTCCATCCAGGAGCCACTGGTCACCAGCCTCAGCCCTGCCTCCCTATACCAGGGCACTCCCCAGCACCAGCAAACACTGTGCTGCACCTGCCCAGTCTCCTCCCCTGCACTGGCCCCTCTGCACCCCTGCCCACACCTGGCACCAGCAGGGGCACAGACAGCCTGGGCCAAGCTGCCTCCTGGGCAGATCCTGTTCCCTCTGATCCTCCACGGTGCCAGAGGTCAGAGCTGCTCCTCCACTGGGGAGGATAACTGGGGTTATCTAGATCTCCAAACACACCCCAGTCCCCTAAAAGCCTGTGAACCCCCAGAGCAAAATCTATTTATCCATCTACACTCAGAGAGTCCCTTTCCCTGAGATAAGGCTGAGCTGCCACTGCAGCACTAGGAGCGACACGTACCTTCTGCGGCTTCCCCAGCTGGTTCTGGGCTCTGCAAGAGAGGAGACAGATGGGCAGGTGCTGGAACTGGCCCAGGCACTGCTGGGACGCTGGTACCCCAGGGATGCAACAACCACCCAAGGGGAGCCATGGCCCACTGGCACTGCCCTGTGGCTCACAGCCAGGCTAAGCCTCATCCAGCCAAGCTGAGCCCTCAGATCCAGCCAGGGGCTGCCCAGCTCTGAGCAAAGAGTAGTGATGCCAGGATATGGAGATGCTGGGAGACGGCCCTGGCTATGCTTTGGCCACACCAAGACCCCATGTTTGCAGGACCCATGATTCCTACCTGCTCAGGGTGAGGCAGAGCCTGTCCCCACACGCACGGATCCTGTTCTGGGCCTCAATGTGTGTCATGGCATTGGTGCTCTCCCCGTCGATGTATAGCACCCAGTCGCCCACTCCCACACCAGCCTGAGCCGCCTTCCCACCTGGAGTCAGCTGTAAGACAGACAGAATCAGGGAGAGCTGGAACAGCCAAGTGCTGGCTCGGGAGCAGAGAGGTGTCCTCGTCCTCATGAAGGCAAGGGGTCTGTTGGGGCTCAGGCTCCCAGCCCAGCACAGGATACCCAGCACAGGATACCCACACAGGCCTGACCCAGTGGGAGGTGGGAACACCCAGCTCACTCCTCATTTCCCAGTGCACAAGCCCAGAGCAGCTTCTTCCCCTCGGCAGCAGCAGCAGAGGGTAAAGCAGTACCCCAGGGTGCTGCCCAGTCCCTGCCTTCTGGCATGGCTGGGGACCTTGCCAGCACCCCGGGGCCTCATCCCCATGACGCCAAACACGGAGGCGGTGCTGGCTCAGCCTCGGCAGGAAGCCCAGCCACCCCTCAGAGCGATCCCTGTGGTCCCGGGGCAGGAAGGGAGCACAGTGAGTCAGGGCCCTTTGGGCAGCCCACATCTCACTGCAAACCACAGGCATGTCCAGCCCTTCGCCTGGGGCGAGGGGGGGTCAGGGGAGGCACCCCTTGGGCACTCCCCCCAGCCGCCCGCGCTCCATGCTCCCGTCCTGTTCCCAGCAGGCGCAGACATTACCTCATTCCCACAGAGGAGCAGGAGCCCTCCCAAGGCAGGGAGACACCCGCCCCCACCCACGCTGCTCCCCCAGACGTCGCCGCGCCGGGACAGCCGAGAGCACGGCCACGGGTTCTCCTTCCTGGCCACAGTGCCAGGGATGGGCCTTGCCCCTGCTGTGGCTCCATTGCACGGCTCTACGTCAGCCCCGTGCTGGGAAGTGGAGCCTGCCCTGCCCTCCCCTCCCACCAGGGATGCACAGCCAGAGGCGAGCAGGGCCCAGAGCACCGCACACAGCTCCCAGGCACTGACAGACAGACAGACGTGGGCAGGGTGCAGCCATTCCTGCTCCTCCAGCATGGAAGAACTCGAGGCGCTTGGACCCGGACCAAGTTATTTCCTCAAGTCCTGTTCGACGTGAACATAAAAGGAGCGAGCCAGATTCCCAGCACTGTCAGAGGGCTGAAAAATCCCTGCCGCTGAGTCCTGGCCCCTCCTTGCCTGTGCGCAGAGCCTGGCTCACCCCAGAGCCACATTCCCCTTCCCTACACCAACAATGGCGCTCCATGTGAGGCCAAACTCCATAGCTGGGCTGGATGTGGCTCGGCTCCACCTGCATCCTGCTGCCACCCCTCAGCCCAGTGCCTGCTCCTCCTGCCCAGCACTGGAGGGTGCCCTCGGCAGCAGTGATGCCGGCTGGCCATGCTGCTGCAAGCCCCGGCTTGCTGCCCTGGAGGGCTGGGGAAGGCACAGGGTGGCTGTGTGGGTTTGCAGGCAGGAGCAGGAGCTGGGAAATGTTTTCACACGGCCAGTTGGGAAGGGGAGAGCACGTCAGGCTGCGTCACACAGCCTCACCCAGCCTGGTCAGCACTTTCTGTCCCCCTCCATGCTGGCACACCGGGAAACCCCTGTGGCAGGTGCCAGCTCAGCTGGGAGCTGTGGCAGTGCCAATCCTCCCGCTTCCCACCCAGGCCTGCTAACCTAAACCCAGGGTTTCCTTCCTCCCTTCTCTGCCCAGCCAGTCCTTTGTTCCCTGCACCTCTGTCACCCCACCCAGAGAGATGCCCACCTGCCACCCCTTCCAGGGATCCCCAGGACAGAGCATCACCCAGCATGGTGGGGAGAGGCTGGAAGGTGCATCCCCCCAGCACCATCCTGCCAGCAGAACCAAGGGTCTCCCCTCTTCCCCAGCTGGCAGAGGCTGGGATGTGTCACACAGCACCCAGCTCCCCAGATGGCAGCCCTTGCCCTGGCTCTGCCACAGGGACTGCAGCGTACAGTCTGCCCAGGTGTCAGTACCCCAGCAGAGCCCCTTGCCACGGGAGATCCATGTGCAGGGGGTCATAGTGGCACTTCTTTTGTGTGTGGCCAGTGAGCTGCAGCAGCCTGACAGCTCATCCAGTAGTGTCACAGTGAGGGACACAGCCAAGAGCCAGAGCACACGCCAGTGCTACTTTCCCCCTGTGGTCCCTGGCCCCACAGAGCAGGACCCCACTGCAGCCCTCAAAGCTGGGGCAGACACTTCCTTCCACCCCGTTCTAGCAGGGCAAGCTCATGGGAAGCGGTGGCCAAGGGCAGCAGTGTGCTCTGGGCAGGAGCTCTGGGGCTGGGAATGTCTCTGGAGTGCAGAGCAGTGCAAGGCTCACCCCTCCCCTCAGACAGAGCACATCACCCTGCCACAAAGCCTGCTCTTAACAGAGAACCCCCCAAAGCTGGCTACATCCCCTCACTGCTCCTGACAGCAGTGCTGCCTGAGCCCCACCAAGTGCTGCTTCATAAGGCCCCTGCCCTGGGCTTTGGGAGGCTCCTCCATCCGACCAGACCCTTTGTTAAGCGCTGGCTTGCAGCCAAGAGAAACATTTTTTAGAGAATAAACTCGTTGAGGCCTTCTCTGCGTGCTCAGCAGAGATCAGTGGGCCCTGGGGCGGCGGTGCTGGTGACTCCAGCCTCACATGGTGCCCTCAGGGCCCGTCCTCCCTGCCTGGGTGCTGCAGAGATCTGTGTCCTCTGGGACAGGCATGCAGTGCCGAGCTCGTGCCGGGGACAGGGCCCCACGCAGCGTCCGGTGCCACGAGCAAAGCTGTCCTTTGAGAAGCAGCCTCCGTGCCAGCTGCCCGAGCGCCAGAGGCACAGGCATTGCAGTCACATTCCAAGGCTTATAAGGCAATTGTGTGGCCAGAGCCGTGGCCAGCATCCGCCCGGGGACAGACCTGGCCTGGCTGAGCATTGCACCGGGCACAGCTCAAACCAGAGGCCTCAGCCACAACCAGATGCGGCACAATGGCTCTCCCAGGAGAAACAGGATGGTTTTGTGGAGGGAATCATGTCCCTGTGCAGGCAGCAGGGTAAGCTTCCTCCTCTCCCTGCCCATTTTAGGGATGAGCTCAGGCATGGAGTTAGGAGCTGTGCAGTGGAAGGGAGGGCAGAAGGGCATTGGCTGAGCCCTGGGATGCCGATCCCAGCGTTAGGGTGCCAATCAGGAAGGCAGTCCCACGTCTCAGAGAGCAGATCCCTTCCCCCTGTGGTGGGCACGCTCCGGAAGGGGCCTTCCCTGCCCCCCTCTGCAGAGGCTGTGCAGCATTTCACGTCTCTGCTGCAGTTCTCTGCCCGGAACACCCCCGTGCCGGGCTGCAGCTGATAAGGCACCAAAGAGGCTACGTGGAGCCAGGCAGGGCAGGATGCAGCACTCCCAGGGCCCCAACTCATCTGCATCCCCTGTAGGACTCTGACTCAGCCACCTGGACACTGCTGCCACGGCCTCCCTCCCACAGAGGCAGGAGGAAGGATGGGTGTCACCAGCCTTGGCTTCTCTTACCCTGGAGATGGAGAGTGGCATGCTGAAATCCTTCCCTCCCTGCAGCCTGAAGCCCCAAGGTGCCGGCCCATTCAGCATCACTTTGTAGGACTCCATGTCGCCCATCTCTGCAAGGGAAGAGGGTGTGATCCTGGTGTTAGGATACATGGGAACAATGCAGGGAGAGCAGCCGAGGAGGGGGCCCAACACTTGGCAGGGCAGGACAGAAGGAGGCAGGTCACATTTCCAGCTGTAACTCCACCCTGACCATTCTACACTGTGGTTAGAGACGCACCCCAAATCCATCAGCATCTCCTCCAGCAACGTCAGAGCTGAGGGGCCCAGGCTAACACTGACTAGTGCCAGAGAGCCAGACACAGCCCTGCTGCCACCCACAGTGGAGTGTCTGTGGGCTTCGCTCTCCTCCCAAACCTGGGATGTGCTCTCCCTTGCCGCACCCCAGCAATTCACATTGCTGAGAGTCCAGGCTGTTTAGACCGCAGAGAAGCAACAGCAGGTACGGAAGGATATGAACCAGAAGCGATTTTGCCGGATGAATTAGCAGTAGCAGCAGCACAGGAGCTGCGTGATGCCACCCGAGGTGCCTGGCAGAGCAGCCAGCCTGGCACTCCAGCAGCCGGCTGAGCAGATGCTCCCTGGGAGTGAGCCCATCTCCAGGGCTTTGGCGGGAGGGAATCCCAGCGCTCCCCTGCCTGACAGCTGTCAGCCGGCCAAGGCTCCGGGCAGATGGGCCGGCACCAGCCTCTTGCCACCCCTCACCTGGATGGAGCCGCCAGACCCCCGCAAAACGCCCCAGGACCTTCCTGCCCGGATGGAGCGGGGCCGGCTGCGGGACTCCCTGCGCCCGGCACGGGCCGGCGGGGTGGCTGCAGGGCCGGGGGCCAGCGTGCCCCCGCTCTCCCCGGGCCGGTGCGGGCTATATAAGGCGTGTAAGACGACACCAGCCCGCTCCCCGCTCGGGAGGGCCGGGGGAAGAGCTGCGTGTCAGGCATTCCCGGCGCCCGGCAGCCGCGCAAGCTCCAGCGAGGCGCCGGGACGGGGCGGACACCCTGCACCCCTCCCGGCGGGACCAGGTTCGGCCGGACTGGGGGTCCCCAGCCCGCACAGCCTGGGCAGCCCCTCCGACTGCTGGGGAGCCCCCCCTGCCCCGCAGGGGGCCACGCGACCCCTCCCCATCGCACAGCACCACCCCTCCCCGCCGGCTCTGCCCGCACGGGCCCGACCCCGATCATCCGCCTTCTCCCCGACCCAGGCCCCAGTCCTCCATCTCTTGCGTTCCCATCTCCCCCGCAGTGCACGGAGCCCTCCGCCGCGCCCAAGCCCCCCGCACCCCCACTCACCCGCGGCCGGGGGGGCCAGACGGAGCGGGCGACGAGCGGCGCCGAACGGATCAGGCGGACTCGGGACTCGAACCCGGGCACCGCCCCCGCCCGGCCCGGACCCGCCTTATGTAGCACAGGGACGGGGCGCGGCCGGTGGGCGGCTCGACCAATCAGCGCGCGCGCCTCTGCCCGGCAGGGCGGGCACGGCGGCGCCCCCTGGCGGAGAGGCGAGAGCTGCCCCCCCGCAGCAGCGGCAGAACCGGGTCCGGGCAGGGCCTTTATTGACCGAACGGCACCGACCGCATCAGGCCCAGTCCCGCGCCCCGGCGCTCTCCCGGCTCAGCAGCCGCACCAGCTTAGCCCGGAGGGTGCTTTGAGGCTTGTGCCTGGAGCGCCCCAGCAGTGGCTCCTGTCCCCCGCGACCCCAGCCCGCGGCCCTGGGGGGCTGTGCCAGGGCAGCCCGATTGTCATAGAGGGGTCCCCCCTCGCTGCTGTGGCCCTCGGGGGCCTGTCGGCACCCCAGCTCCCACTGCCCTTCCTCCTCCTCTTCCTGTGTCCCGACTGAAAGCGGTTCTGCGGTGAAGATGTTCTCATAGAGGTGTTCAGGGAGCGGCTTCCCTGCAGCCCAGGGCTCACAAGAGCCCGGCTGCCCTGGCACAAAGTGGGGCTGGTGGCTCCGGGCGATGGAGGCATAGACGATGGGGCACGAGCCCTCTGGCTCTGGCGGGGTGAAGCAGAGGAGGCTGGCAGGGGCATTGGAGGCAGGCTGTGCCCCCCCCAGGGCTGGGCTGGGCTGGGGGTCCTCTGTCTCAGGGCCCCAGGGTTGGGGTTCAAGGCCCTGTGCAGACAGCTGGGGGTCTGGGACACAGAAGAGCCTGGGGTCTGGGGTGTCCTTGCCCTGCTGCTGGCAGGCAATGGCAGCAGCCACAGCCCGGCAGAGCTCAGGGGCCCGCGGGGTGCTGAAGGTGAAGGTGCCCTCGCCGGAGTCACTGCGGCGACCAGCCTCGAATGAGAAGACAGCCTGCAGGCCAGAGGGGAGAGTGAGGGGCTGGCACCCACCCTGGGGAGCCAGCAGCCCCAAGGAGGGAGCAGGGGACTCACCTGATCCTGGCCAAACTTGCGGAGGAAGGGGTAGGGCCAGGTAAGCAGGGGCTGGCGGGACTGCAGGTCCTTCAGTGTCAGGCTCTGGGGAAGGGCTGAGAGCAGGTACTGCCCGTGCAGGCCACAGCGGGTGGATGCATCTGTCTGGACCACCAGCACCAGGTATTCGGTCACTGCAGGAGCAGAACAAGGGGTCAGCACTGCAGTGCTGAACCGGACCCCACGCCAGCCCCATCCCACACCCCTGCACGTACAGTCCTGCCAGGAAGAGTAGAGAGAGTTCTCCTCCATGGGGACAGAGGGGCTGAGCTGGGTCCTGGCACTACTCGGCACTGTCTCTTTTGCACCCTGAAACAGAGGAACGTGAGCATGGTCTGAGACAGCGGGGAGCACAAGCTCCCTGCTGGCCCTGGAGCCCCCCAGTTCATCCAAGCAGGAGCAACACAACGGCTCCTACCTCTACCAGACCCTGCAGTACCTGGAAGGCCAGCTGGCAGAGCTGGGCAATCCACTCATCCCGCTGCTCAGCCGCCAGCACATAGCTCTTCTCCGTGGTGGTGAGGTAGAAGGCAGAGGTGGCTTTGGGGCAGCTCTCTGTGCCTGCTGGGCCCACGGAGACACAGTCTGAGAGGCGGATTACCCGGCGGGCACAGCGCTGCAGAGGCATCTTCTCCGGGGCTGTGCCATCATCCCGCACATCGAACTTCTCCATGCGGGCCACACCGGAGGGGCTGGCAGCAAACAGCTGAGCTCGCATCTTCCTCCAGGACCTCTAAGGCACAGGAGGGGCACAGGCAGGTTAAAAACGGGTCAGCAAGGAGCTGCCTGCTGCATCCTGGCAGTGCTGCACTCCATGTGGGGCCAGCAGCGCTTGGAAGGAGCCGTATGGGGCAGGAGGGGTCCCAGCCTGCACCCACCAGGTGCTGTGGGAGGTCTTGGAGAGCTGGGGACAGTGCAGACCCCCAAACTGTGAGGCAGGGCAGTCCTAAAGCTGGGTCGAAGGAGGCCTTGCCCCAGGCAGGCTTGGCATGGCTCGCTGGGTGAGTCATGCTCACTCCTGGCTCCCTGAGCACCAGGTCCTGCTCTTTGTTCCCTGCTGCAAGTGCTGGCCTGCCACTGCTGCAGCTGAGCTCGAGCTGTTCTCAGGACAGACCCTGATGCAAATTAAAGCCATTTTGAGCTACTGGGGCTCCTGCTGGCAGCCTCACATCTGCTGAGCAGCCCGCTTCCTCCCAGGGGAGCCTCTGCAGCACCAGCACCTTCCCAGCCTGTCATGGGATAGCGGGGGCGCGTGTCCCCATGTGCTTCAAAAGTGCAGCAGAGCCTCCACCCTGAAGGAACCAGATGCAGCCAAACACCCAAAATACCCACCACCCCCAGCCCGCCTGTCTCCTACACGGCAAGACACTGGCCCCACACACAGAGGGCCAGCTACCTGCTGCGCTTCCAGGGCTTGGCTCTCACACAGCAGGGAGGTCAGACAGTGACTGCAGCCCCATACTTCAACTGAGACCCCCATGGGCCTCCGCCATGGCATGGCCAGTGTGACAGCAGGACCTTCTTTGCCAACATGCAACAGTTCCCTGGAGTTGGCCCAACCCCAGGGACTCCCACCATGTCACCTGTACCCTGCCCCAAGGGCTACAGCTCTCAGTGCCCACCCCGAAGGTTCAGGGGAGCAGCCCAAGCCATGAGGGTGTCCCATGGATGCTGCTGGCCCCCGGGCCAGGCGGATGGAGAGCTGGGCACAGGACCACATCCCACCTGCTGCCCTGGGGCTCCCACACACACACTGGAACTGTGTTGCAGTAACATGTTTATTGTTCCAACTGCAACTCGCGCGGTGATCAAGCGAGAAAAGGGACCCTGTGCAGGGGTGAGCCCAAGTGTGTGCCCACATGGATGAGTCCCCTTGGCTGCAGGAAGAGGCCCACTCCTGAGCCTGCAGGGCCCAGGGCTCCCCCCCTGGAAGCGGAAGTTCTCCCCAAGGCAGTTCTGAGGGGTCTGACTCCAGTCCCCCCTTCCCAGGCTGCTGAGGGTCTGACCTCAGGGCTGGCATCACCAGATCAGGGCAAACCCTCTACAAGCCCCAAATTCACCCTTTACCTTTCCAAATTTGCAGTGCTGCACATAGAGGATCCCATCCTTCACTGGTCTCTCCATGGTCCCAGTACACCCTGGCCAGTGCAAGGACCAGGAACTTGGGCTACCCGCGGCAGAGAAAATGTGACTGCTGCAGCCGAAGGAAGGGCATGGGGCAGACTTCCTTCTCACAGCGACTTCCCCTTTTTGGGGTGTGGGATGGGGGGCAGAGGCTGGGCCACAGGAGGTGTCCGTGTGCCCGCCCTCCCCCTTGCAGGGCAGTGGGGCAGAACGCGGGGGCAGAGCACAGGAAGCAGCTCTGGGAGCGCTCAACACGAGTGCAGCACACGCCGCCTCACCCCGGCTGCATTCCAGCAAGTCTGGGGATACAGGAACAGCCACCCACTGAGGATGGACAAACCCAGGTAAGGGGGGCAGACACGGAGAAATTGAGAAGCTCTGAAGAGGAGCAATGTAAGACCCTGGTGCTGCCACTGCAGAGGGCTGGCAGGGGCAGCAGGCAGCTGGCCACAGACAAGTTGCCCCACCTGGGGTTCCTCTTGCCCTCAGGCACCGCTACCTGCTTGCCCAACAAGCCGCTGCTGATGTAATGGGCTGTTGCAGCACCACCCCACACATTTCCTCCTGGGGCAGGAGCTTCATCAGGCTGAGCTGGCAACAGTCCCAGTGGCCAAAAGCATGGAAAAGGGGCCACAGGAGTGCAAGAGACGCCGCTGGGCTGAAAAGACACCCAGGTCTGTGGCAGAGGGGGAATGTGGGACAGCACACTCCCCAGGCTAGAAGTCCATGGAGCTGTGGGCCAGGTAGTCCTTGCGGCCGATGTTGCTGACTTGCTTGGTCTGCATGGCCTCCAGCTTGGGGCAGTCAGTGATGCGATGGCCCAGGCCACCACAGAAGGCACAGCCTCGCTCACCTGCAATGGGAGAGAGGAGGTTAAGAGGAGCTGTGCCATGCCAGGACAGCAGCTCCCCACCCCAGAGCAGAGGGGCTACACCAGTGTCTCCCCAGTGCTGTGGCATGAGGCTGCCTGCACAGCCAGGCAGGAACTGCCTCAGGAGCTTGGGGTCCTGTCTGCAGACCAGGGGGGTCACTGTGCCAGCCTGGAGTCTCTCACCATTGATGTCCAGCATGGTCTCATCCCCACAGTGCAGCACCTGGAGCACAGGGGGCACCTTCTGCTTTGCCTCCAGGAGCAGGGCCTTCAGGTCCATCAGCACTGACTCATCTGAAGGCAGAGACACAAGTCAGGCACAGCCCGAGCAGAGGTGGGAGCACTGCCTAGTGCCGCCATCTCTCCCTCCTCCAGCCATCCTGCTTGCTCAGAACACCCCCCTTGCCACTGCCCAAGTGTCTCCTACAGCCACAGCCCCCATCCCCTGGCTGTTCCTCACCGCAGGCCTTGTTGATGAAGGTGGTGGCAATGCCAGTGTTGCCTGAACGGCCTGTACGCCCAATCCGGTGAACTGTGGGGATAGAGGCAGGATCAGGACCAGGTGAGTGCAGTGAGACCATCCCTGCCCCCAGACCCTGCAGAGACAAGCACAGAGCCTTGCTGGCTTCTGCAACCCCTCATGGTCTCTGTGGGGCCCAGTGCCCACCATAGTTCTCAATCTCCTCTGGCATGTCGTAGTTGATCACATGCTGGATGGCTGGGAAGTCCAGACCCTTAGAAGCAACATCAGTTGCAACCAGGACATCCTTCTTCCCATCCCGGAAAGCTTCGATGGCTTTTGTCCGTTCTTCCTGATCTGCAAAGGCCCAGCACAGAAAATCAGCAAGGGCAGCACTCCCAGCCCTACCTACTGCAGCAACTACTATGGCCTCAGAGCTCAACTGGGGCTCCCCCAGGCAGCCTTTCCCCAAATAAAGGAGTAGAGGGACCTCTGTGTCCCAAAGAGACCTGCGCTGGGTTTACACCTGCTATGTGCAACAAGGAGTTCATTCCTGACACTGCCACAGCCCTCTCTCACACCATCACCAACACTGGGACCTCCCATGACCACACACATCCCTGGAGGAGGGGGGTCACACCACAGCCCAGGTCTACCTGGGACCCTCACTGACCTTTCCCTCCGTGGATGGCCACAGCTTCCACGCCCTTAAGCAGCAGGTACTCGTGGATGGCATCAACATCTGCCTTCTTCTCTGCGAAGATCAGCACCTGCAGCAGCACAGACATCACGAATAGCCACCTTTCTGTGGGCTAGCACTGCTGGCACCAGCACAGACCCCTGGAAAGCTCTGCTGAGCAGAGCACAGAGCAGGGCTGGTCCCTGCTCATATGTAGAGCGTGGCTCACTCACATGCCCACCCCTCACATGGGGTCCCCCCCTGCCAGCTCGCCCTCTGCCCCAGGGCTGCAGTGTGACCACTGCCCCCAGTTCACTACTCACAGGTGGAGGGGTCTTCTGCAGGCACTCCAGCAGGTACACCATCTTGGCCTCCTCTTTCACATACTCTACCTCCTAGGTACAAGCACAGGGATGGGTCAGACAGCAGAGGAACTGCCACTGCTTGGTATCCCTTAGCAGACTGGGGAAAAAGGGCCATGAACCCCAGCTCCCTGGCAGAGGGAGGTATCAAGCACCCTCATGAATGGTGCTGGTCTCCCACACAGGCAAGGGGCAGAACTCAAAGACCTCACTTGCACAACGTCCAGGCTGGCAGCACCTGCTCGCCCAACGTTGATAGTGATTGGCTTCACCAGGGCACTCTTGGCAAAGTTCTGGATCTTCTTGGGCATCGTGGCACTGAAGAGGAGGGTTTGCCGCTGGCCCTGCATAGGGAGGAAGGATTTAGCACTCCCCCAACCTGGCAGGTGAAGGGATTGAGCTTCAAGGTGCAGTTCAGCACCTTGAAGTAGGAGAAGATGGTCCGGATGTCCCCCTCGAAGCCCATGTCAATCATCCTGTCAGCCTCATCCAGGGCCAGGTACCGGCAGATGTCCAGGCTCACCATCTTCTTCTGCAGCAGGTCCATCAGGCGCCCAGGGGTTGCCACCATCATGTGCACCCCACTGCGGGATGAGAGGAGGCCACAGTCAGGCAAGAATTCCTGCCCCATGCAGGACATAGAGGGAAGGCAACACATTCCTGGCACATCACCTTCTCCCTCGCGCTGTCCTGAAGCCAGGGTGCCACCCCTCAGGCCCCTGACAGAACTCTGGCCCCATATACTCCCCCAGAAAGTCTTACTGCTTGATGGTCTCCATCTGCTCCTTGACGGACATGCCCCCGATGCAGAGGGCGCAGCGCAGGGGGGGCAGCCCGTCCTCCTGCAGCAGGCGGCAGTAGTACTCCAGGATGCCGTGGGTCTGCCGGGCCAGCTCCCGCTGGAGACACAGAACCAACTCATTCCTACACCTCTGTGCAGGCAGGACTGCCACTGCATGACAATCACAGCTTCCTCCTGGCACTCACCGAGGGACAGATGATGAGTCCATAGGGCCCCTCCCGCTTGGAGAACGGCAGCCTCTTCTCCTGCTCCAGGCAGAACATGATCACCGGGAGGGTGAACACCAAAGTCTTCCCAGAGCCAGTGAATGCAATGCCAATCATGTCCCTTCCCGAGAGGCTGCCAGGGAAACAGGACTTTTGAGCATCACAGAACAGCCCAAACTTCCAGGGCTGAGCAAGGTGATGGGGTGCATCTGTCACCAACAAGAGCCCTCAGTACACAACACTGGGTGGGCTGTAGGCAGCAAGTGCTCCGCACTCCGGGACGGGGACAGAGCACTCACATCGTGGGGATGCCTTGGATCTGTATGGGTGTTGGCTGCTGGATCCCTTTTTTCTTCAGGCCTCTCAGGATAGCTGTCAGAGAACAAGGGACACCCACACTCATGACCTGAACTCTTCCTCCTCTTCCCCTCCCACCCGTGTCCCAGCAGCAGCTCTTCCATCAGTGACAAACACCCCTCAGAGGAAAGGTGGGATCACTGCCAGGCTCCTCTCCCAGCCCACCTGCTGGGAACTTCATCTCCTTGAAGCTCTTGATGGGGGGTGGGATGCCCTCCCCCTCCACCAGGATGTGGTACTTCTTGCGCACGCGGTCGTGCCGCGCCTCCGACATGCCCAGGATGTAGCGAGGAGCTCTCCAGCTATGAAGGGAACAGAGACAGGTCATGGTGCTGAATGAGGCCAGGACTCCAGGGCCAGCAGCCCCCATGGAGGAATCCAGGGGAACTGCCTGTCAGGCTCCAATATCGCCCCAGGAATAACAGGGGCTCTGTGATGTGAGTGTGGGAGTAGATCCGAGTTCTGTGTGTTAAACATTCCCCTAAAGTCTCAGTGAGGAGGCCCAAGCTGACAGCTAAGAACAGGCTATGGATAAGGGACGGAACATGCCACAGACACACCTCAATCATCTCTGACGCTACTTTAGAAACACTGAGGTTGGGAAAGACCTCTGAGATCCCCAAGTCCAACCTTTGACTGACCACTGTCTTGACAACACTGTCTTGAGCAGCCCTGGCTCCCCAGCCTCTTCCTCTGCCTTAACAATCTCTCAGACCTGAAAATCCACCCTCAGAACTTTAAGTTTAACAGAAATGTGCTTTATCAAGGCTTACTAGACACAAAACAACATCCCAGGTGACTCAACAGCCTTTGATCTTACAGGAGAAAAGCCAGCAGCTGAAGAGCAGCACTGAGACTGTGCAGCTTCTGGTTCTCCACAGTCACAAGGAAGTGATGTTTTGGGAGAGACAATCCCTGTCCTGTGAGACTTACCTGGTTTTGATGGGGTCGTCATAGGTGATGCCCTTGGCCATCTCCTTCACTGACATCAGAGCTGCAGGAACAGAGGTAAGGAGTCAGTGCAAACTCTCCAGATCAACAGTAACCTCACAGAGAGCTGCGTGGACAAACAGCCTGGCAGATCATGTTTGGAGACAGAGCAGGGCAGCAGCAGACCCTGAAAGCCCCCCTTGGTACAGAACACCAAGTGTTGATGTGCCCATGCTCCTCCCACAGCCACGTCTGTGCCAGGAAAGGGGGCCTGTTGTGACCTCCAGTCGCGTCCGTGGGTATGAACATTCCCAAGGCAGGGAACAGCCCTGGCAGCTCTAGAGGCAGGTGTGACAAACAGAGGTCCCACTCACCTCGGCCCTCAGCCACGCTCTCCAGGATCTTCTCTTCCTCCTTCAGCTGCTTCTCCTTAGCCGACTCCTTCCGAGCTGGTGGGAGTCAGGGAACAGTGAGGGGCTTTCATTGCCCCCTGAAGTTCCCCAGTGCCCCCTGCCAGCTCCTCCCTTACCTTCCGCCTTCTCTTTGAGGTGCTGGTGCTGGTCCAGCAGGCTGATGTTGGACTGCGGCCCCAGCGGGATGTCATCCTCGTCCCCGCGCTGCTCGCTGCCGCTGTCCCGTTGCTCCTCCTCCGACACCACCTTCCGCCGCATCTGCAGCAGTTTCTGCAACTGGAAGGACGCAGGTCGATGCGGAGTGAGCGGCCCCACGCAGGGAGTGGCACTCAGAGCCCTCCCCGCGCAGCCCCGTTACCCCCTTACCATCTGCTGCTTGCGCTGCTTGACGGGCACGTAGGGCACGTAGTCCTCGTCATCCTCCCCGGACAGGTCAGACGTGTCCGCCGGCTCCTCGCGCTGCCTCTGTGGGGAGAGGCGCGGTGAGAGGGGCCCGGAGCGGCCCCGCGAGCGCGGGGCAGGCGGTACCAGGGGCCAGGCCCTCTCCCACCTTCCGCTCCGCCGCAGCCTCCATGGCGCCTTCCCGGAACCGATCGCGGAAGTGACGTCATCACGCGCAGCGCCGTCGCCTAGCAACGCGGGGAACGCGCCACAGCGCGGGAGACGCGACCCGGCCCGACGGAGCCCCGCGGCGGCCAAACTTGTGCAGCACGCGCTCTACATCCCTCCCGCCCCCAGCGCGGCAGAAAGCAGCAGACAGCGGTATTTAAATAAAATAAAAAATTAAAAAGTTCTTTATTGGGTCCAGCACGGTCCTTCCCCGCGGCACGGGGTAGCCGCGTGCCCGCAGAGAGGGGGACGGGACGGCCGGGGTCACCCCGCGGGGATGGGGCAGGAGGATGGAGGGAGCCCCGGAGGGCCCCGCGGGACAGGAGAGCACCGGGGCCCCCCGCGGAGGAGGGGACTCCACCGAGGTGAGGCGGGGGGCACAGTGAGGAGAGGCGAGTGGCCGTGGGTGGGAGGGTCGGCCCCCCCGCACCTCACTGGGCTGCACTGGAAGTGGTTTTCTTCAGGGTGAAGTTGGTCCAGTTCACAGCCACCTTCTGCCGTGTCTGCTTGGCGGAGTCCAGGCAGAACCTGGCAGGGAGAGGACAACCCCGGTCACCTGCCAGCCCCTCTGTGCCACGAGCCCCTGTGTGACCCCAACCCCTCAGGACCCTCAGCCTTGGTCACCCACAAGCCACTCCAGCGGCCCCAGCCCTGCCAGTAGAGCTCATCCTCCCCAGGGCTCCCCCCTCACCTCTTGAAATACTCCACTTCTCTGTCAGTCTCGTCCATCTCTGCCCCATCCAGGTCCTTGGGCAGGAATACATCATCTGGGGAAGCAGAGCAGAGGGTCAGTGCTGCCAGCTGGGCAAAGGGCCCCCGTGAGGATGGTGGTGCAGGGCAGCACTCCTGGCACTTACCAATCGAGGTACAGGGTTTCTCCACCTTGTTCCGGCTCTTCCTGCTCTTGCCCTTGGGCTGAGGGGAGCCCCCCAGGGTGGGAGGGGCAGCCAGGGTAGGTGGTTGAGGCTGTGCCGGCTCCGGCAGCTCTGCTTTGCCCTCTCCCCTCCGGCCCTTCCACTCGCTGGGTCTCTCTTTCTCGGCCCTGGCGCTGCCGCAGCCCCAGGGCTGCCCCTTGCTGCCCTCCCCGGGCTCGGCACAGCCACCTGCCCGCTGTGGCTCCGGGACGCTGCCCTTGGAAGGGGGCTTGGTTCCCAGCACCTGCCCCTTCACCCCAGGGCTCTCCAGCCGGGCCTGGCCGCTGCCGCCCTCCCCTTTCTTTGTCTGCCCATTCTGCCGCTTGTTCTTGCGCTGCCGGCTCCCTGCGGGCACCGGCTCTGGTGGCTCCGGCCCCTTGGGCTGTGGTCCCTCCCTAGGCTCTGGGCTCAGCCCACTGCCCTCCGTGGCAGAGTCCGCAGCCTTGGACTGCACCCAGATCATGCGGGACAGGCTGGGCACGGCGCTGAGCCGCTTCACCACACCGTTCTCGGCCGGTGGTGCCGGCGGGGGCTCCCCAGGCCCCTCGCCCCATCGGGGGCCCAGCTCACCCCGCAGGAGCCCGTGGCTCTTGGCAGGGCCCAGGCTGAGCGGGGCCAGCGCCAGGTCTATGTCCTGCAGGTCAGAGGAGCCATTGAGGTTGGAGAGCAGGTTTTTCTGCTCCAGGACAGCTGCCTTCTTGGGGAAGTCATTGACATCCAGATTGAGGTCGTAGACACTGAAACTGGCCCGGATGGAGTCCTTGATGGTGTTCTTGATCTCCTGCAGCCGGCTGCTGAGGAAGCTGTTCACCCGCTCCAGCTCCAGCTCTGGCCACTCCAGCAGCTTCTCCTCAGCCTGCTCTCTGGCCTGGCTGGCTGCAGGGGCACGTTCTGCCCGCTTCTGGGCCTCTGCCTCCAGCTGGGCTTTCTCCTTCTCCTGCAACACAGGTGCCATGAGGATTGGCTGGGCTGGGCCACAGAACCACAGGCACAGGCCACGGAACTTTGCTCCAGCTCTGACAGCAATCCCAAGGGCTGCTGCTCAGCACAGCCACCTCACAACTTACACAGCCCCCAAACTGTCATGTGTCCCCCATGGGCACAGCAACAGCTGGACACTGCACACCAGACACAGCTCTGGGCATGAGGCACCAGCAAAGGCCACCAGGGCACTGCCTCTCCCCACCACAGATACATGGTGTCAGAGATGTGGCACGGAGCAGGTAGGACACTGCAGTCCAAAGCGCCAGGAGGGCTGGGCCACCCTCTGCAGGAACAGAGGCAGGGGAAACCCTGCACAGGGCCAGGCACTGCTGTCATCTTAGGGGAGAGGGACATGGAGTTCAAGAAACCAAATGGATGAGAGGGAAAGAAGGTAAAGTCCAGCAAGGGGCGCAGCCCAGCACCCACCCAGCCTCACCTTCTTCTTCTGCTTGTGCCGTGCCCGCTTGGCCGCCTTGGCACTGTTCAAGGGCTTAGGCTCCGTGCTGTTGATGTAGTCCAGCAGCTCATCCACATTGCGGTGGTCCACAGCGGGCTCCCCCGAGCTGCTGTTGTGCCCCAGTTTCTGTGGCAGCTCCTCTTTCCTCTTGGTGAGGCGCGAGCGCAGCTTCTCCCGGATCTCGGCGTAGTTGCGGCTCGTGGGAGCGGCCGGGGGCTGCAGGAGGGGAGTGCTGTCAGCCGGGACAGGCACAGGAGGTGCAGCCAGCCCCAGCTCCCCCATCTGCCCCCCACGACCTCCCCAGCCACTCCCTTCCCCACAGTCTCAGTGAGACAAGTCAGCACAGCCCCAGTGAGCTCTTCCAGCGTGAAGCCACAGGGCTTGGCCGGCCGCTCTGAGCCCCGGGGCTGGGCAGGCAGCTGCGAGTCGGGAGCAAGCGACCAGCAGGCTGATGAGGCAGCATGGAAACAAAGTAGGGGATGCACACGCCCGCAGGAAAACAGCCATGGCCAGACCTGCCCACCTCTGTACTCTGGGCACACAGACTGTGTGATGTCTCACCACGAGGCGCAGCGCGAGGACCGGGGGTGGCTGCAGACCAGCCCCTCACTCACCGCGTTGTGGCCGAAGAACTCACAGTAGCAGCAGTCGCAGAACTTCCCATCTTTCTGGTTGGTGGAGGAGGAGGTGCAGGAACTGCGCTCCGAGCTGCTGTCCTCATCCTCCCCAAGCCCCTCATCTGCCTCGCAGGGCTGTGGCAGGTGGCAGCTGGTACCGTTTGGGAATTTGTGCCCTTTGCAAGAGGGGTCCCTGAGAAGAAGGGGAGAAGGGTGAGAGGTGAGCAGGAGCCAAGGTGGGGGTCTCAAAAATTGCCCCACGCTACACGTGTAGGAACACCCCGCCCAGGGCAGCCTGTGCCCAGACACAAGGATTTGTAGGGCAGACAAACCCCCTTCCCCACATCCTTCTCCTCCAGGGGAGATGCCAGAGGAGCCTGTGTCAGCAGACATCCGTAGCTCCCCGGTCTCTGGCAGGCAGGAGGCTGGCACAGCAGAGCCCCAGCGAGCAGCATCCTGCTAGGCCCCAGGCTGGAAGCAGGGCAGGGACTGGTACTCACTGGGGGCAGGTAGCACAGGTGAGGAACACTGGGATTGCGTGCAGCTGCCAGACATCCCCACATGCAGGCAGGCCCAGTTCCCACAGGCACAGGCTGCCCAGCTCAGACAGGGAGGCCAGGGCACGTCCCACAGTGCCATTCCTCGAGCTCCAGCTCAGGACATGGCTGGCTCTCCACAGGGAGAGCTAATCAGCAGAGAAGAACCAGCATGCTCTCTTCAGGGGCACGGGCAGCCCAGAGAGGGCCAGGGGAGCAGGTGAGCAGAACAAGTCCACAGGCTTCATCTTCTCGAGGACCTTTGCTCAGTGCCACGGCTGCCCGACGGGTCTCACTGACAAAGGTCCTGTTGGCCAACAGCATGTTGACCAGGCGGTTCCTTTGGGTCTTTTAGCTGGAGGAGGAGCAAGCACAGCCTCTTCTGCACCACGGAACCAAAGGACAACAGCAGACAGAACACACGTGGGGAGAGAAAGAGCTTGACCCTCAGAGACCAGGGGTCTGCAGCAGCGCAACTGGCCCGCAAAGACAGTGGCTCCCTGCACCACCACGCCAGGGCAGCTGGTCCCTCCACAGGGAAAAGTGCATCCACGGGCAACAGAGGGGAGAAAAGGGCGCACGGCCCAGTGAGCAGAAGCTGGGATCAGGCAGGGCTCCTCTACTCACCTGTTGGTGCTGGGCAGCTGGTGGGAGGCGGGAGGAGGGATGAGTGAAGTGCTGCAGTGCCCGTTGCAGGGATGGGTGCAGCCCGACAGCGGGGGCGGCATCTTCAGCAGTGGCACGTTGGCAGGGGGCAGGTGGGGGCTCTTGCATGGCCCTGGGCTGTGAGAGGCTGCGCCGGCCGGAGGGGACTCGGACACCGGCTTCGGGGCTGCAGCCTGGGCGCTGGGAGCAGGGAAGAGCGTGGCCTGCGAGGAGGAGCCCAGCGGGACATGCGGCGGGGAGCCGAAGGGCCCCGGGTGCGGAGGTGTCTGCTTGGAGGGGATCAGCACCGGTGGCTGGGAGGGGAGGCCGGTGGGACTGTTGGGAGGAGCAGTGAGGTCGGAGTGCTGATGATGCTCTGAGGAGTGGAAGGCCTCACCTACAGAGGAGCAGGAACAGAGACAGTCAGACACTGGCTGTGCTGTGTGGGCCAAGGCCCTGCTCAGAGCCACCCATCGCCTTTCCACAGGCCGCTTCTCCGTGGGATAAACCCTGCCTCCCCCACAGGCAGCGCAGTGCTCAGGACAGAAGCCATCCCTGCTCGCACAAGGCCTCAAGGTCACTGTGCCTCCCCTGTAGGATTCAGCCCTGCCCCACAAGGAGCAGGGCGAGGGGAAATGCTCTGGAGCAGCGGGCTAGGAGGTTGTGGCTGGCCCTGTCCCTGGACACGCACCTGGTGGGGTGGCCCTCCGGCACAAGCTTTTGAACTGCTTCGGCAGCGTCTTGCAGAAGTCAAGTGAGGTAGGCAGAGGCGAGCCCGGGGCGGCACTGCTGGAGGTGGTGGAGGCCGCGTGGCTGTAGGGACAGGCCTTGAGCCCCGGCGCCACAGCCGGCACCTGGCTGGCACACTCTGCAGACAGAGCGAGGCCGGGGTGCTTGTCACCTGGAAGGAAAGAGGAGCTGGGCCCAAATCCCTCTGCCACTGCAAAGGGGCCCAGGCACGCTGCTGGCACTGGGAGTCAGAGGCCCAGCCTGTCCACCATCTAAGCCAAGAACTGGGCAGTAAGCTCTGCTCAACCCCACGGCGGGCTTCAACTCACCTAGTGTAGCTGGTGGGGCCCCGAGGGGGCTGCCCTGGGTGGCCCCATTGGTGTGCTGCGAGTTCCAGAGGCCCGAGAGCTTGTGAGCAGACAAGAACGAGCTGGGGTCCCAGTCCCCTGAGTTCCCATGGCACGAGGAAGAAGAAGAGGAGGAGGAGGAGGAAGAGGAGTGTGACCCACCCCCACAAGACTGTGACTTGCAGGATGTGTGGGATAACGAGACCTGCCAAGGAAAACACAGAGTGAATCAGCTGTGCGGGGAGGCTCTGGGCCCCAGAGTGTCAGCACCAAGACCCTCCACTGCAGCAGGGGCTCAGCTCACGGGAACCACTTCTGTCACTGTCTTGGGGGTGACAAACAGCCTGTCCATCAAACACCAACACAGCCTGGCTCCCAGGACATTCCAAGGACCACATGCCTGCTCTGGTCCCACTCACACCAGGCCAGGATTAAATGAAGCCAGGCAGGAGGGAGCTCCTCTACCTGAGCTCCACACACAGGCAGGCACTTGCCCCAGCAGTCTCTGGGCAAATCTACACCACACAGGGAGCAGCCCTGGGGCCAGGGGACGCAGCATGACATGCAGTGGAGCGGGGCTGGCAGGAAAGCAGCGGCGTTGTCGGTCTCTCCAGCCTGGTAGCTCCAAGCCAAGCCTGCCTGCTGGACGAGCCTCTGTGGCACCATGCGCTGCCCCACCACAGCCTCTGCCTGCTGAGCCAGCGGCAACCCTGGGCAGGGCAGTGGAGGCTGGGATGTCTGGGGCACTCAGCTCAGAGCAAGAAGGGGATCTGCATGCCCTGCTAGTGCCACAGCAAGGGCAGTGCCACACTCCCACAGCTGCAGCCCCAGCACTCCAACCCCAGCTCCGTGACCACGTACCGCCAGGGCCTGCTCCTGCACCGCCCGTCGCTCTTCCTCCTCCACACTCTTCCGGCAGCTCTGGCAGATCCACAGTGGCATTTCTCCCAGGAGGTTCTGCACGAGCGTTGGCACGAAGTCCGGTGGCAGCCTCTCGCCCGGGGAAACCAGCCCATTGTGGGATGGCCCTCCCCAGTCCTTGCGCTCCCGGTGGCAGAGCAGGCAGCACGTCTGCACGGACTGGTTAGTGGTGGGCAGCACCTGAGGAAGGATGCACAGACTGTGAGTCACCCATGTGTTCTGCGGTGCAGATGTGGGACAGATGAGGCAGCGAACGAGACCTTGGGACGCTGACACCAAACCAGGGAAATTCTTGTAGGCTACATGTGGCACTGCACCTTCTCCCACTGGAGCAGAGCAGCCTCAGGCTGCCCAGCTGCTGCCAGCCTGCCACGTGCCAGATGGGAGCGTTCTGGACCTCTGGGAAGATCACAGCGTGCCAAAGAGCCAGCCCTGCCACCAAGCAAGGCCGATAAGCCAGCAGCAGCTCCCACCACCACCTCTGGTACAGCGGGACCAAGAGAACTTGCACAGCAGAGTGCACAGAGCAGCACCCACAGAAATCCAACACGGGGATGTGAAGGGTGGCTCTGGTAGCCTCAACTCTCAATCCTCGCCCAGCACAGACCCCCCCCCCCACCGTGTCACCCGAGAGCCTCAAGCCCTCCCTCCCGCCTCTTTGTTCTGCACAGCCAGCGGTGCCGATGCGCCAGGGTGGGGTGCAGCCCCCTGTGCCACTTTGCTCTCTCCCCGCACGGCCACAGCCAGGCTGGGACTTCCCTGCAGGAGTTGGGCTGCATCCTGCGGGCTCGCTGGAGCCCTGACAGCCGTGACGAGCCCGGCGTGGCGCGGACGAGGGGGCCCCCATTGTCTGCCGGCGCGGCGGGGCCCCGCCACAATGAGCCGCGCATTGAACCGCTGCTGCCAAACAGATGGCGTCTGCAGGCTCAAGGTGAAGCAAAGGTCAGAGGCCAAGGAGAGCAGAGCGGGGGCACAGCCCCCTGCCCACCCACAGCGAGGAAGGGGGTTGCCAGCCCACCCCGTGTCCCAGCTGACACGGTCACCGCAGCGGGCGACACCACGGCTGTCCCCAACCCACCCAGTGCATCCATCCCCGGCGCCCATCCCCGGGTCCCTGCCCACCGCCCGGGACAGGTGGCGGCGGCCAGGTGTGTTCAGCGATCTCAGGCAGCGACAGGCGCGCTGGATGGAGATGCTGCAGCCACCTGCCATCGCCCAGTGGCGGAACCAGGCCCTCCTGCGGGGCGCTGTGGGAGCGCTCCGAGCCCCATCCGCAGGGATGCTCCGGGGCGGGGGTCGGGGCGGGGATGGGGCCCTGCCCCTGCCCCCCCCTCCGCCCCGAGCCCTGCCCCATCCCCGCCCCGAACGGAACCCCCTCAGCGCCAGCGCCGTCCCGGCCGCGGCACTCCCCCGGTACCTGCGCGCTGCCTCTGCCCGGCTCCCCGCCGCTGCTCGCCGCCGCCGTCACCTCAGGCGGGGCGGGCGGTTCCGGTGGCGGTGGCGGCGGGGGAGGCCCGACGTCGGGACCCGCCACCCTGTCGCGGCGAGGCCCGGAGCCACCTGCCGCTGCTGCCGCCGCCGCCGTTGCCGCCGTTGCCGCCTTGTTCCGCCGGCGAGTCATGGCGAGCCCGCCGCAGCCAGGACAACAGCCAATATGGCGGCGCGGCCCGTCCGGCCCCTGCCCGCGGGAAGGAGGGAGGGGGGAAGCGCTCGGTGAGGTGAAGCCGCCGCCGCCATCTTGCGAGAGGGCAGCGCTGCGCCCCCTGGCGGACGGGGGGAGCGGCGGCAGCGGGTCCCCCGGGTCCTAAAGGGCGCCGGTGAGTGTGGAGCGGGATCGCATCCCGGGCTGGATCATCGAAGTGCAACTCCTTGAGTCCACATGGAATGCGAGGGGGGTTAGATCAGGTATTACGAAAAAATTGTTCCCTGTGAGGGTGGTGAGGCACTGGCACAGGTTGCCCAGAGAAGCTGTGGCTGCCCCATCCCTGGAAGTTTCCAAGGCCAGGGTGGACAGGGCTTGGAGCAACCTGGTGTAGTGAAGGGTGTCCCTGCCCTAAACAGGGGGATGGAACAAGATGATCCATCCATCTTTAATGTCTCTTCCAACTCAAACCATTCTATGATTCTATGATTCCTGACCCTGCACAGAACCCCCCCAAAAATCCCACCACGTGTCTGAGAGCATTGTGTCTGAGAGCTCCTTGAACTCTGACAGGTTTGCTGCTGTTACCATTCTGCTGGGGAGTCTATTCCAGTGCCCAAACATCCTTGGGTTGAAGAACCTTTTCCTAATATCCAACTTAAACCTCCCCTGACACAGCTCCAGCTGTTCCCTTGGGTCCTCTCACTGGTCACAGAGAGCAGAGATTGCAGCTGCCCCTCCACTGCCCCTTGTGAGGAAGCTGCAGACCCCTATGAGGTCTGACCTCAGTCTCCTCTTCTCCAGACCTCAGTTGCTCCTTATATGGCTTCCCCTCTAGACCCTTCACCATCCCTGCAGCCTCCTTTGGACACTCTCTAATAGCTTCATGTCCTTCTTACATTGTGCTGCCCAAATCTGCTGGCAGCTGAGGGACAGGCAGGGCTCCAGGCTCGCTGAGCACACAGGGGCACAGGACACAGCCATAGTCACAGGAGCCAGGATACACTGCCCGGCTGAAATTAGACCTGGAGCCCGTGAGGAACACTGGCCCCTCAACACTAGGGCTAGTCCTACACATGCACCTGTCCAGCACAGCCTGGGTACCGCGGGGCTGCCGTGACTCAGGGACTTCCTCAAGCTGAGGAGGTGCTGCCGTGTTTATCCAACCATCCTCCGCGAATTTTTTACTCATGAATCCACCCCATTAGACTTTCAGCCACCTGAATTATCGGCGCCCACATCCTGTGGCCGGCAGTGCCAGGTCTGGAGCAGACACCTCCTCTGGCACAGCCGGGGTGGGGCTGCTGTTCCCAGCACCCCGAGCACCCCCTGGAACCCTTCCTTGGCCACTCGGCGCCTTCTTCTCCCGCCGAGGGGCTGCTTTATTCACTTCCCACTGCATCCCCCTGCTCCACACTCCATGTCCTGCACAGTAAAGGTGTCTGCGAGTGCCTCCCCTGGTGCCCCCCATCATTCGGTGGATCGCTGGGGTATCTCTGTCTCCTGAAGGTTGGGCTGCGGGAAAAAGGGAACCGGGACGGGATAACCGGGGATGCAGCCGGGGATTGGAGCCAGGAACCGTGACCAGGAAGTGGAGCCGGCGGTGAAACCCATCCCGCCCCACGGGAGACGCACCCTCACCCTTCCCATCACAGAGAACCGGTCCGTCGAGGCGCGGACGGGCTCGTCCCGGTGCCGGCACTGGGCGGACACCGCTCCGATCCTCCCCCACGGGCGGTGCCCGGTACCGACCCGCCCCGTCGGCGAGCGGCGGGCGCGGGGAGCCGGGCGGCGGCAGAGCCACGGGACGCGCCATGCTGCCCGCTGCCCTCCGCCGGTGGCTCCGCCGACCCAAGGTGAGACCGGGAAGGGTGGCACCGGGGCCACCCTCCCCTGCGCCCGGGACTGGCGGAGCCCCCGTCCGGGGGCTCCGCCGGTCCCGGGCGCATGGGAGGGCGGCGGGGGTTCCCCGGGGTGGAGCGGGAGGAGGAAGCTAGGGGACTCCCGCGGACCTTTCCCGGTGTTTACAGCCATGCACGGATCCGTGCCCGCTCTGCCAGGATGCGGCTGAACTTGTTCGTCCTGCTCTGCCCCCCAGGGAAACTGAGGCACGGGTGGGTGGGGAGGGCGGCTCTCCCCGGGAGGAGTCAGAGCTGCTGTGGGAGGGTCCCACGTACCTGCCCTAGTGGGCGTTTGTGGATCCATGGGCCCCAAACCTCCCTGCTTCGCTTGGGGGATTTGGGATCCTTCTGGCCCAGCACACAGGGTGTTCCTGCCATCTGCCATCACCCCTCTGTGCTCTTCTCGCAGCGCTCCGACCCTCGCCTGCTCTCCCAGTTCTTCTTTGCCGACGAGAGGGTGACAGGGGTGGTGGCCGAGATCAACGGGCTGGATGCCGAACTGGACCCACAGCAGTACCTGGTGCTCCTCAACCAGCTCCACCTCAGTCAGGTACAGGGACAGACAGGACACTGGTGTGACTTGGTCCCCTGGGACACCACGGGTGACATCCATGCCCTCCCCAGGCTCACCTGCTGGCCATCCTGGAGCAGATCATGGAGGAGTGCATCCCTACGCAGCGGCACAGCCGGGACTACCTAGTCAAGTTCCCTGAGGAGCTCTTGGTGGACAACTTGGGGAACCATATGCTGTTTGCTGCTGAGGTGAGCCCAGGGATGCTATCTGGGAGGTCTGGTTCTCCGAGGCTGGGGGGCAATGGGCTCCCCCACCCCCAGCTGACCCTGGGGTTATGGGATGCACTGCCCCGGGTGCTGGCTCCTGATGGTCCCTGTCCCAGCAGTGTCTCCTGGCTGGGACCTTCCCGGAGGTGGAGGAGGCGGACAGGGCACAGCTGCGGCCCCAGGCCAGGAACCTGCTGTGCAGCCTGGAGCTGGTGCGGACAGTACTGCGGGAGCAGAGCCTGAGCCAGCCCAATTCCTACCCGGAGCCCGTCCGGGCTGTGCTTATCCAGTTTGACCGGCTCTTTGCAGAGTTTGAGCTGAGGTGGGGGCCAGGGCTGGGGTGGTGGGGGCCTGTGCCAGGTCTGGAGGGGCCTCACACTCCCTGCATCTCTCCAGCTATGTGTCCTCGCTGGTGGCAGTGAAGTCTCCCGAGGAGATCTACAGGCAGCAGGAGATCATTGTGCTGTTCTGTGAGACAGTGGAGAGGTGAGTGAAGGGCACCACACATCAGGTCAGGGTAGCAGGGACCTCAGCCCCAAGGATGGGCAGTGTCCTGAGGCTCAGCCCTACTGTAAGGGAGTGTGTGTGTCCCCAGAGCACTGCGCCTGGGCTACCTGACCCAGGAGATGATCGATGACTACGAACCGCTGCTGATGTTCACCATCCCTCGCTTGGCCATTATCAGGTGGGTGCAGCCCCTGGAGAAGGGGGGATGTTCCCTGCCCTGTACCAGCCCCTTCTCCCCATGGGGAACTGGGGTCTTGGGCAATCCCCCATGTAAGTTGAGCTCTGTCCCCTCACAGCGGCCTCCTCATCTACCCCGAGGGTCCCCTCAGCCTGGAGCGGAGCCCCGAGGAGATGTCCCGGGTCTTCAGCCCCTTCTACAATCTCCTGAAGAAGATCAGGTATGCAGTGCGGGGCAATGGGTGGGGCCATGGGGCAGCAGGGGGGCCGTGACATGGGGTTGATGCCATCCCCTTGCCTCAGGGAGCTGCTGCGGGTGCTGTCAGTGGAGGAGCTCTGCCTGCTGGAGAGGAGCCTGTGCACAGCTGAACCAGAGAATCCCTGTGGTCCAGACATCACCCCAGTGTGGGAAGCAGCTGTGCCCAGAGAGGACCCCCCTGCTCCCTTTGGTCTCCTGGAGGTCCCTTGTGCCACACCACCAGCCCTCACCTGCACGACACTATTGGGACCCTCTGGTGCTGTCGACAGCCCAGGCACCGACTGGCAGTGGGGGTGTGTGGTGGGCAGGAAGCGGGGCCGAGATGGCAGATCCCTGTCCGCTGGGACAGGACATCTCACCCCTAGGGTAACTGTCACCTCCCCTCTGTGCAGCCCCCAGATCCCCGGGAGCAGCCCAGGGATAGGTGCCACCCTGGGTGCCCACTGCTCAGAGCTGCGCTGCCGGTACAGCAGCACCAAGGACATGCTGCACACCCTCTTTGTCTGCATCTCTGGTGAGTGACCCCCGAGACCCCCCCCAGCACCCTAAGCTCCCCAGCACCCTGACCCCCCACTCTTCTGGTGCAGGGGTTGCCGATCAGCTCCAGACCAACTTTGCCAGTGACATGCGCAGCATCTTGAAAACGGTCTTCAAGATCGTGGCCTCGCAGGTGGAGCCCTTGGAGGAGCCCAGTGCCAGCCGTGAGTAATCCCCAGAGAGTGAGAGATTGCTCCTCTGCCCTGCCCAGTGCCCATCCCTGGTGAGACAAGGCCACAGCCCCAGGCATGGGGAGGACGTGGCCATACTGCCTGTCCCTGGTTTGGCTGTTCCACCATAGCCCTCGTCCCTGCAGGAAAGAAGGATGATGACTCCTGTGTGGCAGATGCTCCTCGTGTGGCTGACTGCCCACTGTGCTCCAGCCCCACGGAGGCTGCCGGGCTCCGGAGGGCAGGTAAGGGGCTGCCCAGGTGCCATGGCTCTGGGGCAGGTGTGACGCTGGGACTGATCCTGCCCCCATCCTGCTGGACAGGGTCTGGCTTTGAGGGGGGCTGGCACAGGCGGGTTTTACCAATATGTTTTACCCAGCAGGCACTCACCGCCTGCCCGAGTGGGTGCCCGACAGCACGTGCAGCCAGTGCTCTTCCTGCCGCTTGCCCTTCACCCTGCTGCGGCGCCGGCACCACTGCCGCAGCTGTGGGAAGGTAGGATGGGGCTGAGCTGGGGCGTGTGGGGTCCCTGAGGGACCCGGCTCTGCTCAGCCCCCCTCTGGCCCTCTCTTGCAGATCTTCTGTGCCCGCTGCTCACCGCACGCCGCGGAACTGCCGCACTACAGCCACACCAAACCCGTGCGTGTCTGCACCCACTGCTACACCACACACCTTCTCACCTGCATCCCAGTGCGCCCGGAGCCAATGAGAGCCCCTCTGCCAGAGCTGCATCTGCAGGAGGCCATGCACCGGGGGCAAGGGGCCGTTCCAGGGCTGCTGGGCAGCTCTTCAGCCCTATGACTGCTGTCAGAGCTGGGTGGGCATGATGGCAGGACCCCCTTACATGGCAGTAGGACTCCCCCTCACACAGGGGCAGGACCCCACAGACGGCGGCAGCCCACGCCTGGTGCTGGCAGGCTGGGGTCACGGTGGCTGCAGGACCCCCCCTCCCGATGCACCGTGGCCGTGCCCTGCTTTCAGTGAACCGCGTGCACCTGCCCCCCGGCTGGAAATGTGCTTCGTGGTGGTTTTTTTTCAGGTGAACTTTGACTGTTGTTGGGCCCGGGGCAGAGTCTCCCCCCCCCACCCCACGGCCTGGCCTGAGAAGGTGCAAACAGCCCTCACATGACGGCGGGTGCCCCAGGGCCGCCCGTGCCACACCCGCCCGTGCCGTGCAGTGCCGTGCCCGAAGGCCCGGCGCTCCCCTGCCCTCCCTTCCCTACTGCCTGCACCCGACGGATTTTAATAAAGAGATAAGCCCGCATGGCTGGGCCGCGTTGCGCTGGGTTCCCGGGGCGCAGGGGGGAGCGGGGCGGGCTAGTGGTCGCAGCCGGTGTGGGAACACCTGTGGGCGCGGTGGGGCGATGAGGCGCTGGGGGTGTTCCGAGCGGTCTGGGGATGGTGTGATCGCTCCCCGCCCGGCTCCCACAGGCGGGCAGGAGCGACCCGCGCCCCGGGCGTCTCCGGACGCGCACGTGGGCAGACATGAAAGCACTTCCCAGGGGGCACAGCCACGGCGTGGTAATTAATTAACCAAGGAGGGGCGTGGCTTTTCCAATGGAGGCGTGTCCGGCCCCGCCCCCCGATTCAAATTTGAAGCACGCGCTTTCCCGCCCAAAGTTGTTTGCCCGCCGTGGTGACGTCAGCGGCGCGCGGTGTCCCGCAGCCAATCAGCGCGCGGCCTTCGCCCCCCTCCCGCCATGGAGCCCGCGGCCACCACCAGCATCCAGGTGCTGCTCCAGGCGGCCGAGTTCCTGGAGCACCGGGACCACTGCGACCCGCCCGGCCTGGCCGAGGCCGAGCACGGCTACGCCTCGCTCTGCCCTGCCCGGTCGCGCCGGGCCGTGAGCAGCGTCAGGTGAGCGGCGGGAGAGTGGGTGGGTGGCGGTGGCCGGCGGCGCCGGTGCTGATCGCCGGCGGCTCTTTCTCCCGCAGGTCGGTGCACAACGCGCTGGAGAAGCACAGGTACAGGGGCGTGTGGGGGGAGCGGCGGGGCAGGGGGTGGCTCTGGCAGTGCGCCCACCCTCGGGCTGACCGCCGTGTGGTCCCCCTCCCGCCCGGCCGTAGGAGAGCCCAGCTCCGGTGCTGCTTGGAGCGGCTGAAGCAGCAGGTGCCGGTGGCCGCGGGGCCGTCCCGTCCCACCACGCTGAGCCTCCTGCACCGTGCCCGGCTTCACATCCAGGTGAGGGGGGATGACCCCGGTACCACTCGGGGGACCCCGTGTGGCAACAGGCCCGCCCAGCTCTGCCCCTCTCATGGCTCGCTGGGTCCCCGCAGAGGCTGGAGGAGCAGGAGCTGAGGGCACGGAGGGCCAAGGACCGGCTGCGAGACCGGCAGCGGAGCCTGCGGCGGCGGCTGGAATGGCTGCTCCTACCCACCGACGGGGAACGGGCACGGGCTGACAGCCTAGACTCATCCCAGCTCTCGGAGCCCTCCGAGGGAGGTAAGGGAGGGGAAGGATGGAGGGTGGGCAGGAAAGGAAAAGCAGCCGGGGTCCTGACTTGGGCTCCCCCCCTGCTGCCCAGAGGATGCCGAGGTAGAGGTGGATGGTGTGGTGTTCGGTGGGGACCTGCTGCACGCCTTCGGCACCGGGAGGGACCACAGCTACTCCAGCCTCCACAGCCCGGAATCCTGACAGTGCCCACTGCCTTCCCTGCACTGCCGGCCCGCCTCCTTCCTGCTGGAAATGCAGCCTCCCTGGCCTCATTACAGCCACGATAAGGGGCCACAGGTGGGGGTGAGCACCCAGCTTGGCCCCCAGCAGCTGGGCTGCTGGGCAGCACTGGCTGTGGCACTGGGTGCATGGGGCTGGCACCACACTGTGGCACCCACTGTGAGTGCACTGCAAAGCACTGGGAGAGGCACTGGAAGAGGGCCCAGCTGTCATGGGGAAACCCTCACACCTCCCCCTGTGCACTGCCAGGCATGTGGCAGTGCTGCTCACTGCAGACATGGCTAGAGGAGGGCTGTCCTGCCCCTGGAGAGACAGAAAGGGGAAACAAGTGCATTAAGCAACCTGCCTTCATGCTCCCACAGGCTCTTTTGTACAGACCCCACACTTTTATAGTAAAGGCACTTGGTAAAACTCTGGCCTGTGTCTTCCCTGTGATCCCGGCAGCAGGCTGGACCCCCAGAGTGGAGGGCAGCACTGGGCTCTGCTCTAGCCAGGCCAGTCCCAGTCAAATCAGAAGTGGGAGTAGATTCTTTAATGATAATTACATCTCAGAAAGGGTCTAACAGCAGCTGATTGTCAGACTTGTACAGTTTCTTTAAAAATATAAAATCTAAGGAGATTTCTATCTGTCCTGGTGCAGCTGGCCCCTCACACGTACTGCTTCTTCTTGGTGGCTGCCTTGCTCGCCAGGTCCTTGGCTTTCTCTGTAGCAGCCAGAGCTGTCTCCTTGGCTTTCTCGGTCGCTTCCTTGGCAGTCTCCACCAGTGTTTTGGATGGAGCTTCTCCTATAACACGGAAGCTGTTAACCCAGCCCTGCCCCGGCACTGGAGTGCCAGCCAGACCTGCCCAGCAGCCTTGGCACCAAGGCACTTCCCCACGCAGATGAGCCTGGTGCTCCTGACCTCAGCACGTCAGGGCACGTGACTGCTGCCCTGTCACATCCCGTCCTGCCTGCACTGCACTCCACCCCTGCCTGGCCTTGCAATCACTGGCCGGCTGCTCCGCTCAGGAAGGGCAGGCTATGCCAAGGCATGGGGCAAAGGTAAGGGAGGAGGATTTCACAGTCAGATCAGTTCAAGCTGCGACCTGCCCATGGACTGGAGTGTTCCCAGTGTGACCTCTAACTCCAAGAGACCCGTCCCGGTCAGCCCCAGCCTGCCCCTGGTGCCCACCTTGCATTCTTGCTAGCACGTATTCAAATCCCTTAGTGCTCTTGGTCACGTTGCTTTTGAACCTGGCCAGACCAAACTCCTGCAAGGGAAAAGTCAGTGAAGGTGCAAGCCCAGCTCCCTGTCACACATAGCCCCTGGGGCTTTTGTCCCAGCTTGAGAAGTCACAAGCAGTGACTTTGACAGTGATGGTTCTGGGTGCCCGAAGAGCTCATGAGGGCTGGGGGAACAAGGGGAAAGGGTGTAAAAACCATCACAAGGAATGGGTAGAGAAAGGGGGAGCAGGAGCTTTAGGGGGACACACAGTGCTGCAGTGCTCACCTGGATGGCCCGTGAGACGCCAAACAGGCTGGAGGATACCCAGGCCTCTCGCTTGACCTCGGTCCAGTTGCTGTTCTCTGGGTTCACCCGGTACACGCAGCGCTCCTCCACCACCTGCAGGAGGCACAGCCCGGCTGTAGGAACTGCTGGGCCCCTTCCACCCCCCCCTATGCCTTCCCGCCCGCGGCACCTACCATGAGACGGGCGTGGTTGATGTTCCAGGTGAACGTGGTCATGGTCCGGTTCTTGGGGTCCACGATAGAGTCCTCCAGGATGTAGACGGAGTGGGCGACGTTAGCTGGGAAGAAGCGCTCTGCCCAGCGCGGCATCCGGTTTGTCTTGGTCAGGAGCCGCCGCGACAGCAGCTTGTGGTCCGGTGTCACCTCCCGGTGCACGATGTCTTCGGTCAGGACATGTTTGCTAAAACGGCGGAAGAAAACATCAAGCCCTGCTCCTTCCCGGCCAGCCCACCAGGGGCTGGGAACCATCAGGCACCGTGGGACTAAGGGAGGGGGAAACCAGCTCGCCGCTGTGTGCACCCATCCCAGAAGGCTGGAGGGGGACGAGCAGAGCCCCCGCGGGACCCCCGGGGAAAGGGTTGGGCCGAGGAGGAGGGGCAGCATTCCCAGATGGC